GTACCACAAACTATATAGAAAGGTTAGTACCATAGCTAAACTAGGGGTCTCGAAAGATTAACTTTAATACCATAGATAATCCTTGAACCAGAGATAATCTTCGTTTTGTAATAACGTTTTTCTTAGTTTATGGTTTAAATATATTACTAACTCCAGTACTATATTAAGTCCGTGTTTTGGAATAAGGCGGTTTGAGTTTTTCCTGGCTTGCATGTATTAAGCGTGCCTTAAATGTAAAAAAACTTTTTCATCAATATTTTTATTAGGTTACACGGGCACAATTGGTGCAACTAATAATAAAATATTGAAGGGTGACATTCATGAAAAATTAAAAATATTAAAATTTTGGTGACTAAGCCTCACAAAGGCTTGCTTAATGTCCAATCTCTGTCGAAGTATAGAGAAGTTGAATGTATAACAAATAACTTTATTATTAATGTAATTAAAACAATTTAAAAAAACAAAATGGCGAGGTTTACCCTAGATGAAAAATTAATAGGATTTCTAATAATGAAACAAAACTCCAAACACTACAAACTTATAGAAAAAATGTTTGTCTTGTCTAACAAACAAATGTTATATAGACCAAAAATAATAATTTAGCATACCCTAGCGAAAAGTTCGTTATCTTATACAGGAAAGGTACTCACTTATTCATAACTATTTGAATTATAGCTGTTTTAAAATTAATATAAAAAGTAACTTATAACGTATAATATTGAGCACTATGATTAAATATGATTCCTGTGGCTTAATTTATTTAATTTGACACTTGCTTTATATAATGTACAATAAATATTGCTCTGTTTTCGTCAAATTGTACCTATAATTTAATCCTAATATTAGCTGAATCACTTAGAAATAAAAGAATAAATTATGATTTGGATCCAATACACTTTAATTACATTATTATTATAAGTTTTATGTTTAATTCCTATACCTATATGCTGTTAACAAGTATTTTCGACAAAATATTCTAGTAGCTCGCCCTTCTTGACAAAAACCACCCTTTTCCTCTTCTTTTTTGGAGTTTATGGCCCGGTATCTAGACCTTTAGGCCAAGTCTTAAGTATTTTTATTCGGTTTATTGTAATTTCCCCACTCCTTCATAGTATACTGCTTCACAATATGTTGATGCGTCACATTGTGCAGTTCTTGGGAGATTTTGGCGGCAACTTGATCCAGCAGACAGCTGATAGTTGGCGATGGTATCTAAAGGTGCCTATGCAAACAAACAGCTTATCTTGAGAATCCATCACCATCAGAGCACTTGTTTCACTGTTTCCACTAATAGTTCACATGCGTAGACACTTAATACACAAAATCGCAACACTTTTACATATCAAAGTCCACTTCAAACCATTATTTAAACAATAATACAGGAGCAGCAAACCGCCGCCGGTCAATTTCCCGCCAAAACTCCCTTTTCCTCTTCCTGTCTCCTATAATGTTGCCATATTAAATACTCCCACATATACTATTTTACAAATATTAAAACGGAAACATTTTAAACATTAAAAGAAATAGATACTTATTATAAAATAATTCGAAAATCAAGACAATTTAAAAAAAATGTAATATAAATGTGTTAGTATTGCTAACAGACGGCCGTCCTGTTAACGAAATGACTCTATTTCGACCCGGCCATTCGATTAACACGAGTCCACAATCCCTATTCAATTGTATGTAATCTGACAAATAATTATTTCTCTAAAAAAAAATCAAATAGATTAATTCTTACATAATATAATGCTCAATTATAGTTAAGTATTACAATCGATGTTAATTAGCTAAATTTAAAATTTAAATTTAAAACAGATTTTAGTATCGCATCTGATGACTTATCTAAGAATAACTATCGTTATCTCTTATTTAGATAATTTTTAAAAATCTTCATTATTCCCATTTTTAGCGCCAGTTTTCTCACTGCTGGTCTTCTGACTGGTCACTGTGTCTCTGGCTGTCTCACTGATCACTGTATCAGTGTTCCTGTGGGCACAAAAAAAAGAAAATATGTAAATTAAAAGTCCCTATAGTAATGTAATCGGATGTACTCGTTGGAAAAGTCCTGGTCCTTTCCTTTTTTATTGAGTAAATGAGATAGTTAGGTAGCTAATGTATCATAGATTTATAAACAGTGTAGTAATTATAGCGTTATTAACAGCATATTTCACATAGGCACATAATGTGATCACTAAATTCAGAAGTTTATTCCACATTGATGCACATGTAGATACATATTAGGTACCTTATGGATCCATTACCTATGTAGGTATTGTGATCACCACATTAAGTAGCATAGCCGTGTTTTGGAATAAGGCGGTTTGAGTTTTTCCTGGCTTGCATGTATTAAGCGTGCCTTAAATGTAAAAAAACTTTTTCATCAATATTTTTATTAGGTTACACGGGCACAATTGGTGCAACTAATAATAAAATATTGAAGGGTGACATTCATGAAAAATTAAAAATATTAAAATTTTGGTGACTAAGCCTCACAAAAGCTTGCTTAATGTCCAATCTCTGTCGAAGTATAGAGAAGTTGAATGTATAACAAATAACTTTATTATTAATGTAATTAAAACAATTTAAAAAAACAAAATGGCGAGGTTTACCCTAGATGAAAAATTAATAGGATTTCTAATAATGAAACAAAACTCCAAACACTACAAACTTATAGAAAAAATGTTTGTCTTGTCTAACAAACAAATGTTATATAGACCAAAAATAATAATTTAGCATACCCTAGCGAAAAGTTCGTTATCTTATACAGGAAAGGTACTCACTTATTCATAACTATTTGAATTATAGCTGTTTTAAAATTAATATAAAAAGTAACTTATAACGTATAATATTGAGCACTATGATTAAATATGATTCCTGTGGCTTAATTTATTTAATTTGACACTTGCTTTATATAATGTACAATAAATATTGCTCTGTTTTCGTCAAATTGTACCTATAATTTAATCCTAATATTAGCTGAATCACTTAGAAATAAAAGAATAAATTATGATTTGGATCCATAATACAATACTACTGAAAAGAATTGAGTTGGTGCCTTTTTTGTATCGTAATATTTCTTCATGGCATGCTGATTAGATTTCGTTCTTTCTACAACTAGGTTACGAATGGTGTCTCTAGTATTATTTAGTTCATTTTCTGAATGATTATTATGAGTGTTTGAGTTCACATCCTGAACGGCATTTAGAATAGGTCCTTCACTTGGGTTCATGGTGTTCCGCCCGAAAACTACCTCGGACGGAGTAGCACCAGTACTCTTGTTACGCGTATTGTTTAAACTCCATTGAACTTTGTTAATGTGAGTGTCCCAGTCCCGTTCGTCTAAACCATAATTTGATGCTGCTAATGATTCCAGTATAGTACAATTGTATCGTTCGATCTGTCCATTAGCGCGAGGTGTTGCAACCGCATTTAGAACGTGTCTTGCACCAATGGAATTCACGAAATTTTTAAATGTTGTCGATGTGAAGCTAGTCCCTCTGTCCGAAATTATTACTTTTGGACTACCTATAACGCCAAATATATCGGTCAATATCTTAACCGTCGTCTTACTTTTTAGGTTTTTAACGGCTCTAATGAAAATAAATTTACTAAATCCATCGATAATACCCAGTAAATACGTATTTCCGCATTTACTTCTAACAAATGGTCCCAAGTGGTCCATGTGTAATGTTTGAAATGGAACATTACCTTTGGGTATGGGATGCAAAAAACCGCTTCGTTTTGAAGTCGACGCCTTATTATATTGACAATTAAGACATGCTGCAACATATTTCCGGACAAATCGGTTCATTTTAGGGAACCAGTAATCATGCTTTATTTTATGCAAAGTCTTATCATAGGAGAAATGACCTGCTTCATCATGGTTAAGTTGGCAAACACGCCATCTGGCGTTATTTGGCACTACCCATTTTAATGCATCGCCTACCTTCCTGTAGATTTTAGCATCCTTTACTACGTAATTATCTATTATGTCTTTGATATCTTTGCTGTCACTATCTAGAATTGATTTCACTAATTTAAGTTTTGGGTCTGTCATTTGAACTGATTGTAGCCATTCCGTAGTTGTAATATTCATAACTTCAAAAGCACTAATATCATCCCAATCATTCACATTTGTTCCTTGGATAGGGTTTCGGCTTAGAGCATCGACGTGTCTCATGCTTTCACCTGGTCTATACTCAATACTAAAATTATATTCCTGTAACAACAACCACCACCTGGCTATACGAGGAATTAAGTCCCTATTTGTTAACGTTGTCCTTAGAGCATTACAATCTGTATACACCTTAAAAGGAATCCCTATTAAATATGTACGAAATTTCTTTAATGACAAAACAACGGCGAGTGTTTCTAACTCGTAAGTGTAAATGCTCCTCGTCCTTGGTGGTCTGTTTGCTAAAATATGCGACCGGCTTGAGTGGTAGTTTCTCGTTCTGTTTCTGCAATATGATGCCACCAACGCCTAACTTACTTGCATCGCAATGTACCTCTGTTAAATATGCAGGGTTATACAGTGCCAATATTGGTCTCTCAACTAATTTGGATTTGATAATTTGAACAGCTGTCTCTTGCTCTTCTCCCCATTTCCATGCAACATTAGTTTTGGTAAGGGTTGTTAATGGTTTAACAATACTTGCGAATCCGATAATAAACCTTCGAAAAAAACTAGCTAGTCCTACAAATTGCCTGACTTGATGTACATGTGTAGGAGTAGGGAAAGAAGCTACAGCTTCAGTTTTCTTACTACCTGGTCGCAGGCCTTCGCAAGATACCTCGTATCCTAAATAATCTAGTTCTCTTTTGAAGAAATAACATTTTTTTATATTCAAAGTCAAGCCAGCACTACGTAACGATATCAAAATTTTGCGCACTTTTGCTAACCCTTCGTCAATGGTTGTTGCAGGAGAGAGCAAGTCATCCATATAAGGGATAGCCAAGTCGTATCTATCTTTTCTGAGTGCTTTGTTAACCATGTGTTAAAATACGGCAGGTGCATTGACGAGACCAAACGGTATACGTGTATATTCGTAATGCCCGTCTGGAGTTACAAATGCCGTTAAGTGTCTAGACCCCTCGGCCATCGGTATTTGGTAGTACCCCGACTTAAGATCGAGACTTGTAAAATACACTTTACCGCTAAGACGGTCTAATTGATCGTCAATAACTGGCATTGGATATGAGTCTTTTATGGTCTTCTTATTGAGCGCTCGATAGTCGACGCACAAACGGTGTTCTCCATTTTTTTTCTTAACAAGTACTATCGGGCTGGCATAGGATGAGTTGGAATCACGGATTATTTTGGCGTCTAATAATTCGTTTACTATGTCGCGTACAACTAATCTTTCACTATAAGGTAATCTGTAGGGTTTATATGATACTGGTGTATCGTCATGTAATTGTATGTGCATTTCAGTTATGTCCGTCATCCCTAGTTCATGCAAGTTTAACGCAAAACAGTCTCGAAATTCGTTTACCATAGTCATAAGTTCATCTTCCTGCATCTGTGTTAAATCACTGCCAATGTTTAACATTATTTTTTTTTTTTTTTTATAGGATCGGGTGACAAACGAGCACACAGTCCACCTGATGGTAAGTGGTTACTGTGACCCATAGACATCTACATCTATCCTCAATAAAGACTCAAGATGCAGATGCGTTGTCACCCGTGAAGACTAAGATGGAATGCCTCTTTGCCAGTAAAAAGGGTCTACGGTTCTCTACACTCACCATACGAAACACAGCAGCGTTAAGCTGCTATTTTACGCTGGTTTTCTGTGAGAGCGTGGTCCTTCCCCGGTCGAGCCGACCCATTCGTGCTACAACCATAATATAGCTGCAGCATGGCTCTACCACGTTGAAAACATTTCGATAGTTATCACATCATCGCCTGAGGTTTTTAACCGGTCAATAGAGTTCATTTTATTTATCTGCAGTTCAGTTGGTGGCTCTGCAGGTAATGCATCGGGCTGTCCGTGAAGTATGTGAACCCGTGCGAGAAGTCTACCTTTCTTTAGTAAGACATCTTTATTGGTGAGGCATATGACGGGAATATAACCCAGATTTTCTCTTACGGCATACACTTCTGGTAGAGTAATTATTTCTTCTCCATCCTTAAAGCAGGTATTACCAGGTAAATATATGTGCCCCGTGTATTTTATATCGCAACATACTTTGACTATATGCATACCCCTAACAATAGTATCTTCTAGAATAAATAGCTTTATTTTATCCGCCTCTGCTTTATATGAATAAAGTATTAAACTTGAAATAGTCTTAAAGACAACAACATCAGACATCTCATGTACTATTTGTACTAGTACTTGAAGAGCGTGCAGATTTGTTGCGTTCTCTTTGGAAACTACGAGGGCACCTAACATGTGAGCGACTTCTATTTTGGCGTTTGTTCCTACTACATGTGCCATGTGAACTCTTCCGACTGTTACCACCTGTCATTCGACGGTTTCGTGACCTGCACCTAGACCTAGATCGTACCTGAAATTCTTGTGATTGACTTCGCTGACTTCTACTTGCAGTTGAAACTATGCTTTTATTAAATTGTTTACTCTTTTGTACCATATCACTATTAAGTGCTGGGGTATGCGCACTCTGGTCTGAGTCTGACATAATGAATCAATAATATACTAGAATCTGGTCAAAGGATAAAAAGTCTATAGTATTTTAAGGTCAAAGGATAAAGTGATATAGATAAGGGAGTGGGGAAAATGAATTCAGCAATTAGTATGTAATAATAATAATAATAATAATAATAAAGCCATTTATTCAACAGTACGTAATACAATTTCTTAATATCTAAATCATATAAAATCTACATTGTCTTCTGCTGATTGCCAATCGGCAAAGGCCTCCTCCAACCTTTTCCACTCGTTTCTATCCTTGGCAACCCGGTTCCAAGTCACACCCGCGAATTTGACCAGGTCGTCCTCCCATCTTTGGCGGGGTCTCCCCCTCTTTCTTATGCCATTCCTGGGGTACCATTCTGTGACCTTCCTGCTCCACTTTTCCTTCCCTCTACTCATATGCCCAGCCCATTTCCACTTTAATTTCCTGACTTTTGTTGCTATGTCCCGAACCTTTGTGTTTTTCCTAATGTCTTCTAACCTGACTCGATCCTTTTTCCTGATTCCCATCATGCTTCGCTCCATCGAATGCTGGCATATTTTTAATTTCTTACTGTTTAATTTAGTAGGAGCCCATGTTTGACATCCGTACATCAATACAGGAAGAATGCATGTGTTGAATACTTTGGATTTAATGGATATGTGCAGTTCTTTATCTTTCACTATTTCCTTCATGCTCCAATATCTTTTCCATCCGTTAGCTACTCTCCTGTTGATTTCTTTTTCCATGTTGTCTGTGGGTGAGATCATTTGGCCCAGATAGATGTATTCATCAACGTATTCTATCTCACTTTGGCCAACCCTGATGTTTTCATTTTTAGGTCCGTTGGTCATTACTTTCGTTTTCTCCATGTTCATTTTCAATCCCACCGTGTGACTTTCTAATGCCAGATCATTTGCCATGACATTCAGTTCATGTGGGGTTTTTGCAAAGAGAACGATGTCGTCTGCGAATCTTAAATGTGTTAACCAAGTTCCATCGATACTGATTCCATATCCATCCCAATTTAGTCTTCTAAATATCATTTCAAGGGCCGCAGAAAAAAGTTTTGGGGATAGCGGGTCGCCCTGTCGCACCCCTTTTTGTATGCTAAATGGTTCTCCTTTCTTTTCTAACTGTATGCATGCTGTACTTTTCTTGTATATCTCTCTCAGTATCCTTATGTACTTGCTTTCTATACCTTGTTCTTTTAGGGCCTGCCATATCTTATTGTGAAATAAAGAGTCGAAAGCCTTGCTGTAGTCTATATATGCCATGTAATATAATTGGTTGTATTCATGGGATTTTTCTATAATCTGCCTCATAACATGTATGTGGTCCAATACTGAGTACCCTCTACGAAAACCTGCTTGCTCGTTTGGTTGGTTCTCGTCTAATTTTCTTTCGAGTCTTCTTAGCAGTATTTTCGCAAATATTTTGTATAAGTTGGACATAAGGCTGATCGGGCGATAATTACCTATATTAAGTTTATCACCCTTTTTATATAACAATACTATATTAGATTGCGTCCATTGTATCGGGATAACTTCGTTTGCGAAAATTTCATTAAATAGTTTCGTGATAACTGGTAACAGGACATTTTTTGCCATTAATAGGATTTCATTTTCAATGCCATCTGGCCCTGGGGCTTTGTCTTTACTTTGGGACTGTAATGCTACTTCTACCTCTCGTTGCAGTATATAGGGTATGCTCTCATCCTCATCATCGTTTAGTACTATTACTTCGCCAGGTTCTTCTTGTGTGTTCTCATATAATTGTTTATAGTATGATGTAGCAATATCTTTTATGTCTGATCTTCTATTTTGTTCTATTCCTTTCTCATTTCTAACTTTTGTGACCCAATCTTTTGATTCTGACAGTTCTTTATATGCTTTTTTTGTTCCTCCTGTTCTAATGATTTGCTCTTCTATTTTTTTTCTTCTGTTTTGTTTTCTATCCCTTCTCATACTCTGTTTTATATCTTTACTCAGCTCTGATATGCGTTTTCTACGATTCTCTGTGTCTCTGGAACTGATTACTTGTTTCCTTGCTTCGAGTAGATTTTTTGTTTTTATTGATAAATAGCTTTTCTTCTTTTCTTTATTAGTGCAGGTACTTTTTGCTAGTTTGATTGAAGTCTCAAACCAGTCGTATTTCTGTTGAATATCTAGGTTCTTGGTTTCTTTCTCAAAGTCTGCAAATCTTTCGGTCAGTTTATTTGCAGCTTCTTTTAGGTTTTGAATACTCAACTTACCAACAAAGTGCCTCCTGGGTCTTTGTGTCTTTATATGTCGTAGTGTGAGATCTGCCCTGACCATTCTATGGTTCGTGTTGAAATTAAATTTGTTCACAACATTTAAATCGGTGAAACACATTGGTTTGTTGGTGAGAACAAAGTCAATCTCATTTTTGTATTTGCCTCCTGGTGATACCCATGTCCATTTCCTTGAACCTTTCTTTTTAAATTTGCTGTTTAGAATATAGAGGTTGTTTTCGAAAGACATATTAATGAGTCTTTCTCCATTTTTGCTTCGTCGAGTTCCATATGTAAAAGGTCCGAGAACACGTCTTTCTTCTGGCAAGCTTTCACCTGTCTGGCCGTTGAAGTCTCCCATCACTATTAAGTTTTTGTGCGTATGTTTCTCTATAGTACTGTTTAGATTCTCATAGAATTCTTCAATTGTCTTTTTGTCTGCTTGTTCAGTTGGAGAGTACACTTGCACAATAGACCACATATCTTCGTAATTGGGTAATTTTATATTTAGCACTGCTAAACGGTCCGAAATTCCTATGAACTCATCAACATATTGTATCATGTGCTTTTTGAGAATAAATCCTACCCCATTTTGGCCTTCTTTTTCGCCTATGTGATATAGAAGGAAGTCCTCGTATTCTTGTATGTTTTCTCCAGCTCGTCTTACTTCACTCAGACCCAGAATGTCCCATTTGATATCATTTAGTGCTTTACTTAGTTCTGTTAGACTCTCGTCCGACTTTAGGGTTAGAACATTAAGTGCTGCAATTTGGATACTTTCTTTAAAGGGGGCATTACATTTATCTTTGTTGTTAATGTTGTTGTTTTCTAGTGTATGTTTGTTTAGAAGTGTATGTTTGTTTGGTTTTTTTGAGATTGGTGGGTGGTGGTCTAATTCCCCACGGGGACCAGCCGGGTTGGGGAATGTTAATTTAGTTTTGGTGGTATTCGTTGTTTTACTGTTTTCATTTCGACTACCGCCTATTTCTAGTTTTTTGATGTCTCCTCTATATTCGCTTTCGATTGGCTTCTCATTCTTTCTGCTGGGTTGATTCTCGACATTTTAGCAAGTTGGTATAACTTGGGTTCTCCAGGGGCTTTGCTGAAGTTGTCCGGGGGAGTAGAAGGTGGGGTGGATTGGGCTCTCTTCCTCTTTTCAGGTTCCATTTTGTCTCGTATTATTAGTTTGCCATTCCTTATTATTGCATACTTTCCAGATGCTCTGGCTTCCTTCATTTTTGGGATAAGAGCCTTTCTTTCTTCCAGTTCCTCTTTAGACAGATCTTCTGTTACGTAGACTCCTTCTGGGAATTTTTTCTTCTTTTCCAAGATTTCGTTTCTTCTCCATGTTAGGGTACATGAAATTTTTATAGGTCTTATCTTGCCTTCTGTCTTTTTCCCAACTCTGTATATGCTGCTTAGTTCCCATTTATCCCAGTCGTGTTTCTCTTTCTCCGCTTGTTCTGTTGTGCAGGGAACGTTGAATAGTTCTATTACAGTATTCATTAATTCTAGATTGTTATTTTCAGTTTCTTCAACCCCGTGCAGTAAGACATTATTTTTCCTCGTTTCAAGTTCCAGATATTTTACTTTCGATCTTAGTAGCAAAATCTCAGCCTTCATAGCTTCGTTTTCCTTTTTTATTGGTAACAGTTGCTCTTCAATAGTTTTGCTGATAGTCTCGGTTATGGTTTGGGTTTGTTTATCATTTTGTTTTTCAATCTCTTCCTTTATAGTGGCCAACAGCATTTTTGTTTGTTCGTCCATACTTGGTACCGATTTTCTACCAAATTGGTAGGTTTTGGCTTGACCTGGCAACTTTTGAGGGTTTTGACAGTAGTTGGACTTCCAATTTTTGTCTATGGTTTTTAATAACTTCAATAATTTTGCAAACTTTCGATGGTTATTTCACTGTATTTAGCACTTCCCACGAAAGGATTATTAGTTTAAATTTATCAATACTGTTTGTTCGATATTTTTAGTGCACTTTTTTTCCGATCGGTCACTTTTGTACTATTGTTACTAATTAAAATGCGGAGACGATCACTACGTAATGTTCAGTTTGACAGTTATATAATTAGTATGAGCTTTTATAAAATAGAAAGTCTTATATGTATTATAATTAAATTCCCATAAGTTATATAAAATATGGCTTTATATTACAAGTAATATTAAAAGAAACAATACTGTTGTCATTACATTTAATAAGCAAATAAATTTGCATCAAGCATCATTATAGCAACAAATCCACCGCTGACTACAGATATTCCTTGCATAATAATCACACAATTATTTAAAACAACTGTTAAATTGAACTACATAAAAGTAAATAGATAATGTAATGCTTTTTTTTTTGTTGTTGCTTCTTCTGGCTTATGAGAAGTATTTCCACATCATTTTAGAAGTTAGTGTGACATCAAATATATTATTTATTAACAATTACACTCCAAACATTTATAAATATTTCACTTTCTTTGTTACTTTGTAATATGCCACAGTATCATTATATTAGTAGGAGTTATGCTTGTTTTATACTAACAAAATGGGTCATAAATGAAAATATGTTCTGAATAAAAGGTATAATATAGGGTTTTGTTTAAGTGTTGTTGAATAATTATAGCTTATCATGATTCTCATTCAGTTTTAATGCAGTTAAGTCCATATTTTTGGATTACCATTACAAATTATGTAGCAATGACAATTTAATAATTTATGACAATAGTGCATAGAAGTTCTTTTTTTTGCTTATTATACAACTTTTAATTATTTCATGTTCATGAGTATATATAAGTGCTTAATACTACATAATTATTATCATGATGTATAAACAAATATTTTATATTAGATAGGGTGTACCCTTGATAATAATTAAAAACTCATAACATGTAGGTACAATATACTATTTAAAACCCATTTTTTTATCGCACAAAACAGATTTTTGATTTTATATTTATTTTAATTTAGTTAATGGATATTACGCAGTTAACTTATCAAATTGAAAACAATAGAACATACCTGAAGGCAGGCTCGTTTATCCCACTTCTGAATTATTAGCTGAATCACTTAGAAATAAAAGAATAAATTATGATTTGGATCCAATACACTTTAATTACATTATTATTATAAGTTTTATGTTTAATTCCTATACCTATATGCTGTTAACAAGTATTTTCGACAAAATATTCTAGTAGCTCGCCCTTCTTGACAAAAACCACCCTTTTCCTCTTCTTTTTTTTTTTTTTTTGGAGTTTATGGCCAGGTATCTAGACCTTTAGGCCAAGTCTTAAGTATTTTTATTCGGTTTATTGTAATTTCCCCACTCCTTCATAGTATACTGCTTCACAATATGTTGATGCGTCACATTGTGCAGTTCTTGGGAGATTTTGGCGGCAACTTGATCCAGCAGACAGCTGATAGTTGGCGATGGTATCTAAAGGTGCCTATGCAAACAAACAGCTTATCTTGAGAATCCATCACCATCAGAGCACTTGTTTCACTGTTTCCACTAATAGTTCACATGCGTAGACACTTAATACACAAAATCGCAACACTTTTACATATCAAAGTCCACTTCAAACCATTATTTAAACAATAATACAGGAGCAGCAAACCGCCGCCGGTCAATTTCCCGCCAAAAAACCCTTTTCCTCTTCCTGTCTCCTATAATGTTGCCATATTAAATACTCCCACATTTACTATTTTACAAATATTAAAACGGAAACATTTTAAACATTAAAAGAAATAGATACTTATTATAAAATAATTCGAAAATCAAGACAATTTTAAAAAAATGTAATATAAATGTGTTAGTATTGCTAACACTAAGATTATGTGTGTATGTATATTATATTGGTGTGCTTGAATAAAAAATAAATGTTTATGTACTATAATTGTTTCATTAAGTAATATTTTAATATAACTAATGCACTCTTACATCGATATCGATAAAAATAATAAATATCGATATCGATGATTTGAGGGATGTGTGCTTGCAATCACAAAGTTATACATAGCTATATTGAATCTGTATAGTTATTACTCATCTGTCAAAATAGGCGATTGCAGCGCCACAAGGCGTAGTTGGGAAACTTGACTGAAAGTAACTTTTTTTTTTTTGGAGTTTATGGCCTGGTATCTAGACCTTTAGGCCAAGTCTTAAGTATTTTTATTCGGTTTATTGTAATTTCCCCACTCCTTCATAGTATACTGCTTCACAATATGTTGATGCGTCACATTGTGCAGTTCTTGGGAGATTTTGGCGGCAACTTGATCCAGCAGACAGCTGATAGTTGGCGATGGTATCTAAAGGTGCCTATGCAAACAAACAGCTTATCTTGAGAATCCATCACCATCAGAGCACTTGTTTCACTGTTTCCACTAATAGTTCACATGCGTAGACACTTAATACACAAAATCGCAACACTTTTACATATCAAAGTCCACTTCAAACCATTATTTAAACAATAATACAGGAGCAGCAAACCGCCGCCGGTCAATTTCCCGCCAAAAACTCACTGAAAGTAACTGTCGTATCTGTAGCATGAAGTTATAGATAAAGATGGAGGCCACACTTTGAACAACACATGGAGTATAGAGTAGAAGTATAGAGTGTAGAGTAGAAGGAGAACCATCTCTGTATATGAAAAGTGTCCCTAAAAACGCGTCCAATAAGGGTGGCGCTGCAGTAGCATAGGATAAATTAAAAAAAAAAGCGCCAAAATTTATTAGAATAAGATGGAGAAATAAACAAGGACCGACCAATCCCCTTGGTTTTGTACTACGTAAATAGTTGAGGTTTTGTATACTGGCATTTTACTAACTACTCTAGTCATGAAATTTTTTAAATATTTTTAATTCAGCTGACTTCACTCCGTCTACAACAGCTATATTCATATCGTAGTTTTTCAGACGCCAGCGCTATTGTGGTAGGTTTTGGAATCTCTATTTTCAGTAAACAGTTGGACACTTTTTCAACTTTCCCCCTATATGAGATGGTTCTCCTTCTACTTATGGAGTGTAGAGTAGAAGGAGAACCATCTTATAAGGTGCGAAAGTTGAAAAAGTGTCCCAATATATACTGAAAATAGAGGTTCCAAAACCTACCACAATAGCGATGGCTTCTGAATATAGCTGTTGTTGATAGACGGAATGAAGTTAGCTGAATTCAAATATTTAAAAATTTCATGACAATACATATAGTAGTTAGTAAAATGCACAGACCACAGAGTACTTTTTTATATGGGGAAGTAAAATCATAAAATGCCAGTATTATACAAACCATTTACGTAGTCTAAAATAATTAAGTTAATATAACCAAAAACTTGCTGTGAGGAAACTTGATTTTATTAGTATGGCTTTTTAAAAATAATTATTAGTGATTTTGTGGTGGTGATTGTTATAAAAGGTTAAGAAATAATTGAACAATTATGGGAAAAACCTGTTTTGTGAAAAGTTGTCCAAGTGGACGTAAACTAAAAACTTCAAAACATGGTTCGCCTCAACTTCTGTCTTTTTTCCGACCTACTGTATGTTGAGTAGTTTATTTTGAATTATTTATTTAATTTACGACACCCTGATTGAGAAATCGAATTAAAAATAATTCAATCCATGCAAAGTGTATGTTTATATATTATTTAACTCGAATCATGTTATTTCAAATTGTTTTATAATAATTTCAAATTAGATTTCTTAATCAGGATTTAACGCTTATTTAATGTTTAATCAACACTTTTTAATTTTGTATTATATTAAATTATATTTACAGACAACAGCAAGATTAGACAAGTGGCAAAGGTGTTTGGGTATTAAATTAAAAGCCACTGATAATATTTGCCATCTTCATTTTAAAGAAGAAGATATAAAATTGTACGACAAGTTTATGATTGACGGAGAGCTCAAGATTTTTCCAGCAGTGAAAAAAATGCTAAAAAATGAAGCTTTGCCAACAATCGAGCATCAATTTATTCCAATACCAGCATATGAGCTCCAAGCAAGTATTATTGAACCACAAAAATCAACTTCATGCCACAATCACAGTGGAGACGACCAGCAGGATAGTATGCAAAACAGCAGCATTGAGCAACATGAATTATTAGATGATCTGTATAATCCTAATAATGCTACAAATTACAATGAACAAATGGAACAGGACTTGGAAGAATCTCTGTTGAGTCAGCAGTCCAATGATGATTTAAATAATAACGTAGCAAAAGAAACAACTATACAACCAATAGAGAGTTTTAGAGATATCCTGAAATGTCCAATGGTACCATCTTTTTGGATGCATGTAGAGAAACCAGACGGACTAGAATTTCTGCGAATGGATCCATCAACCAAGGAAACAAAAAATTATATACGTCTAAATGAGGATTTATCAGTTACTGTAAGTATTTATTAATTAATGTATGGATAAAGTAATTAATTTTTTAGTTACAATAATCATTAATAGCAACTTAATTGCAGATTATTTTTTCTAATGATGAAGAACTGCCGCTTTATGTAAAAATTAATTCTTTCAAAAATCTTTGTGAGTTCTTAAAATCTGTAGAAAGATCGCCATTATGCATTGGTACTCAAATAGACAGTAATAAGTAAGAATATTTTTTTACACATAAAACAAAGGAACTATAAAAAGTTTTACACATCTATAATACTTAAAAAAAAATACATAAATTTTCAGGTACTCAAAATTGTGTAAAGGTGTGATAAGTGGCGATGCTTACCAAAGAAATCCAAGATGTAAATCATGTCGCATTTTACGGAAACACTTACAAAGCCGTAAATCAACTTCAATTATTTTAGAGAAAACGACAGCTCTAAAACGGCTTGCTTCAAAACTTGTTAAACAAAACAAACGTCTAAAAAGAATGGTAAGTTTTTTTTTATTTCATTGAAAACATCTAAGCTCTATGAAAATTGCAAAAATTTATCTTCAGGGTAATAAGGTATTGCAGTTACTTTCTTTCAAACATTTTATTTATCATTTTACATCCACATATCTTTTTGGAAAAATAGTGATCATTTACATATGAGTTTTAAATTAAATCTTTTGGTAAAGTATTCATAATGTATATATTAATTGTTCATTAATTTTTTATTCACAACAGTAACTGTTTGTACATAAAAATTGTACATTTAATCTGTTGTTCTAATATAAATGATTTATACATTGTTCAATGTTGATTTGTTCAAATGAAATTACTTAGCTTTCATCATCATCATCATTACAGCCCTTCACAAGTCCACTGCTGAACATAGGCCTCCCCCAAAGAATGCCACAAAGCACGGTCCTGAGCCACCTGCATCCATCGACTTCCTGCATGTCTTACCAGGTCGTCACTCCATCTCGTGGGGGGACGCCCTACACTTCGCCTACCGGTACGAGGCTGCCACTCGAGAACCTTTCTTCCCCATCGGTTGTCAGTTCTTCGAGCTATATGGCCGGCCCACTGCCACTTCAGCTTACTAATCCGTTGGGCTATGTCGGTTACTCTGGTTCTACTGCGGATATCCTCATTCCTAAGTTTATCACGCAGAGAAACTCCGAGCATAGCCCTCTCCATAGCCCGCTGAGCGACCTTGAGCTTCCTCATACGGCCAGCAGTGAAGGACCACGTCTCAGTTCCATATGTCATTACTGGCAACACGCACTGGTTGTACAATTTCGTTTTCAGGTTTTGAGGTATGTCTGACGAGAAGATGTGTCGTAGCTTCCCGAACGCTGCCCAGCCGAGTTGAATCCGTCGATTGACCTCTCGGTCGAAGTTGGACTTACCTAGTCGGACTATTTGTCCCAGGTAAACATACTCGTCAACAACTTCGAGCTTAGTGTTCCCAACAACTACCGGCATAGGTGTGACATGGACATTAAACATGATCTTAGTTTTGTCCATGTTCATCTTAAGACCTATCCGTTGGGAAACACTATCGAGGTCATTGAGCATAGTGCTTAGGTCCTCCAGCGATTCTGCCATAAGGACTATATCGTCGGCAAATCGAAGGTGAGTGATGTACTCGCCATTGATGTTGATACCGTATCCTTTCCAGTCCAGAAGCTTGAAAACGTCTTCCAATGCAGCGGTGAAGAGTTTCGGGGATATAACATCACCCTGTCTTACACCTCTCTGCAATTGGATAGGTTTCGTACTCTGGTTCTGTACTCGGATAGCCATCGTAGCCCTACTGTACAAGCACTTCAACACTTCGATATACCGACAGTCAACTTGGCACCGCTGAAGGGACTGCAGCACCGCCCAAATTTCGACGGAATCAAAGGCTTTCTCATAGTCCACATACGCCAGACATAGTGGCAAATTGTACTCTTCGGACTTCTGTACAATTTGCCGAAGGGTATGTATGTGGTCTATGGTGCTAAAGCCCTTTCGGAAACCGGCTTGTTCGGGAGGCTGGAAGTCGTCAAGTCTGCGCGCGATACGATTCGTAATGACTCTCGAAAACAGCACGTAGACGCGGCTCAGAAGGGAAATCGGTCTGTAGTTCTTCAAGAGAGCGTTGTCACCTTTCTTGAAGAACAAGACCACCGCACTTCTGCTCCACGCCTCCGGTGTAATGCCACCATGGAGGACGGAATTAAAGAGCTTCTGAAGGACTTCAAGTACCGGTCTTCCACCCGCTTTCAGAAGCTCCGCTGTAATTCCATCCTCGCCTGGGGCCTTACCGTTTTTAAGGTGCTGGAGAGCCATTCTAATCTCGCTCAGACTGACGTCCGGGATATCTTCGGAATAGTGTCGGATGAGACTCGCTCTTGGATCGTTACTCACACTTGCGTGTGGCTCCAACGATGACGTGTACAGCTGCCCATAGAACCTCTCAATCTCACTCAAAATCTCAGGTGTCCCGGAAACGATGCTGCCACATTCTGTCTTCAGCTTTGACAGTTGGCTCTTTCTGGCAGACAGATCTCTGGCAAAGACTTTGGAGCCTTGGTTCCGCTCGATCGCTTCTTCAATACGAGCTGTATTGAAGTTGCGTAAGTCCCGCCGCATGCATTTGGAGATCTGTCTGTTCAGATGCCTGTATGCTGTCAAGTCTGTTGAAGAATGTAGCTTCATCTCCCGTCTAACAGCCATGAGATTAAGAGTGTGATCGGAGAGTTTTTGTGTTCTTCTGCGGCGGGTCTTGCAGAACTTAGCTCCGACCGCATGGACAGTTTCCACGAGCTTGTCATTCATATCGTCCACTTCATTGTAGTCTTCTAGGCACTGAAAACGGTTTTGTAACTCGAGCTGAAAGGTCTCGGGACTTTGGAACAGAGCACGAGGGGGACGGAGCGTTGACTTCATTAGACGAGACCTCTCCAACTTAACGTTTAGGTTCAGTGTGCCTCTAACCATTCGGTGATCGCTACCAGTTTTCACCCTCGCGATCACGGAGACATCACTGAACAGTTGTCGTCTGGTCGTCATAATGAAGTCAATCTCATTTTTTGTCGAACCGTCGGGGCTCGACCAGGTCCACTTCCTGTGGGGCCGCTTCTGGAAGAAAGAGTTCATCATAAAGAGTCCCTCTTTCTCCATGAAGTCGGCCAGCTGCTGGCCCCTTGGGTTCCGTTGCCCTATTCCAAATTTCCCTACTTTCAGCTCACCGTTCTCTCTTGTGCCTAGTTTTGCATTGAAGTCTCCCATTAACACCGTATATTGGGTTTTGGAGGAATGCATGGCTCTAGAGATATCCTCATACATTTCCTCCACCTCCCCATCGGGGTGTGCCGAGGTTGGTGCGTAAACCTGTATGACCTTCAGCGAATACCGTTTGGTGATTCTGAGTATAAGGTACGCAACCCTCGTCGACACACTCCCGATCTTTACAACGTTGTTAACGAGAGACTTGTGGACGATAAATCCGACACCTCCTTGGGACAGATGGTCGCCCTCCCGGTGATAGAGCAAGTTGCCGGATTCGAGGATTACCGTGTCCTCCCCCTCTCTTCGGACTTCGGATAATCCTATAATATGCCAGCGCAACTTGTCTATCTCTTCTTCCAGCTCCACGATCTTCTCGTCAGTCCTCAGGGTGCGTGCGTTGTACGTTGCCAGGTCGAGTCGTCTAAGGTGGCAACCGAACCTCCACCGGAGATTCTTAGCACCCCCTGCCCCGCCGTTACCATGGTCGCCACCGTAGCCAGGAATAGCGGGGCCGCCGGGGACTGGGGGCCGTCTCTTAGTAACTTTATTCATTTGGGGGGTATTTGCCATAGTTGCCACGCTTGGCGAGCGGGTTGGCAACCGCAGTTTTTTTTTTTTATTGTCTGGCTATTATCAGGAAGATGCTGCTGCCCATCTCCTGCCTGTTTCCTGCCTGCTTTAGAAAATCATAATTATATATAACAGAACATAAATTTTGTACCATACCAATCACATATGAATAAAATTATTATACCAAATCTTTCTTCTTATTAAATAATGTAGATTAATTAATCAATAACATAGTTGATTGTTTAATAAATAAAACAATAACTTTAAATATTATAATTATATGTGAACAAATGTAATTTTAAATTGTAGTTTTCGAAGTTAATGATGTTGCTAAGTGTGCAATATTATTAGAATAAGATTTATACTACTCATTTAAGAATTTTAATTTTTTCTTAATTAAATTGAAGCCTCGAAGGATGATTGCCATTGCTCTATAAATAATTAGGTTAATCAGTAACATGAAGCTAATACAAAGAGGAGACTGCATAAGCAACTGTGCACTGTGATTCTAAGTAGGTCCTGACGTCATCATAGTGGGCGTGGCTTTAGTTAGCATACTGTCAGCATTCGTCCTGTGCGCTTATGTGCTGAAAAAATCGCAAATCGGTGTATTTTCGTAGTATTAAGAAGAAAAGGATGAAGTGTTGTGTTTTATTGTGTAAAAACTACTCAGATAGACGCTCTGATGTTATGGATGGCATCACATTTCATTTGTAAATAATTTTACACCTAATTTATTAAAATAGTTCTAGAAAATCTCTTTGCGTCGGCTTTCAAATATAATTAAATATATTCGACACTAGATGGCGACACTTTGTGTCATGTGAACTAAAAATATAAAGGTCCGTAGAGCTCAGTATTGGTAAAATAATCATACGATGGTGCTGAAATTTGTTTTGCATTCAGACATAAAGAAATTTTAATCGCAAAATATTATTTTTATACTTTATAATCATTTTGAGAACAGGCCGTATTCTCGTCAAGTAAACCTCATAAAAATGACAAAAAGACAGGGCCCTAATTAGAATTCAATAATTTTTCCCAGAAATCCAATTTTTAATATTAAATACAGGAAATTGTACTTATGCTGATTTTTACGAAATGTTTAAGTTATATTTAAGTGACATTCTATATGCAAAAAATCACTTAAATACAATTTAATGTTCTTAGATTGGCATTCAAAAAGTGCATTCGGATGCCTAATTTGGAATAAAATATTTATATTTTAATTGATTTGTAAATAAAATTATATTAATTATAATAATTTGTCTATTATTTGTTCTCCCTCAGAGATATTAAGTAGTATAACCCACACATAAATAATAGTCCAGCCGTTTCTGCGTGAAAAAATTACACATACTTAGTGTGGAATAAGCTCAA